GCTAACTTTAATTTGACTCTTCAGGAACCATTGCACGCCGCCGTCATGTTAGAGCAAGCTTCTTACTGCTTCGTGTTAACTAAGCCAGCGATGCTAAACAAGTATGGATTTCATCTAGTTCTCTCAGGAGACCACTATAAAAACTGTGATCAGGTACATTTCACTTTACTGAAAGGGATCAAGAGTCGTACGTACTTGGATTCTAAAGAATACACTTTGAATGTTTTTTTCAGGTTAACCATGCAATTCGTACATATAGAAGTGCAATCTCTGTTTATGAATCAACTACATGGAGCCATATCAAAGACCATGTACACTTTCATATTGGACGGTAAGTTTTGAACGTGGTGAATGTGCGTCTCGTAATTATGTTTAGGAAACTGTGGTCTAAGACTTGCTATGAAATTATCTGTTCAGATGGTATGCACTTGTTGGGATGCATGATGTTGCAGTTAGAAATATGCTCAAAGTACTGGACTGTGGGAACCAATCCAAGCCAACCCAAGAGATTTTTCTCAGAGACTTTTTCGACATTGTTCAGGTGCCTAGCCTATACCGGCTGTTTGATACGCGTTACTGAAGCTGCTTCCAATAGTTACCCCTGGTCACTATTCTTTGTTCTTTGGCTATTCAAAATGACTTTCTTTTTCTGTCATTTTGAAGAAAACTGGAATGAAGCACGAGGTGGTGGGACTTCAACTACCATTCATTAACATGTCGTCTCTTCAAGTTATATATGAAGATCATCGCACTTATGCATCTCTAGCTTCTGTAAGTTTCGTACTCACTCTTTGGAAATTATTGCTACCCATCATAACCTTCCAAGGATGTATTGCGCTTATATTCCATTATGAACAGCATAACTGACGTCAGTGTTTCTGGTTATATTTTTATTACTTGCAAATAAATGAATATTTGTGCATCATGGAAGTTTTTCTTCCATTAATGGTGAATTTGCATTTCTTGTATACCAACATGATTTAAATGTCATGGCCAGGCTCTTGTACAAGAAAGAATCTGGCAGTCACTGGAGGATGACATCATTCCATCATTAAATTCTGGCAAGTCAAACTGGCTGGAGTTACAGTCAAAGCTACTGCCAAAGAAATACAAGGAATCTAATGTTTGTGTGGCTGGAGGTATGAAGGTTGTTGTTAGTTGCATTCGATGTTTACCTGAATCATGCAGCTTCTTGATTATCCTACAATTAAATTATGCTTGAATCTGAAGGGTAAAGAATGCAATAGTCCAGCTAAAATATGCATACGTATACGCAAAATCTGGTTTATCTTGTCTACCAGCATGAGGACATTTCAAATTGATCTGGACTTGCTTTGAGTTTGAAAAATGTATATTTGTGAAAGGACATGCTGTGATAATTTTAGTATTAGATGTCCTCATTAGTCATATCATAGCATCTGTAAATGTTATCAGTTCTGCTTCTATCAAGGAAGAGGGATTTTTTGGGTTTGTCAATATATTCAGGCCATTATATTCTGCTGTAGTATGTTTGAAAATGTTTGCAATTGTGGATTCTTACTTGTACTTCTTTGTTATCAGAGTCAGTGAAAGTGGATCTGGAGTTCAAGAATCCATTGCTGATCTCTACTTCCATAACACGTGTTTCTCTCATCTGTGAACTTACCTCAAATTCTGATGACATAAAATTAGGTAACCTGTTTGTATTATTGATTTTTACTTAAGAATTTTCGACATCCTTTGGTTCATAGATGTGAAACTTATTTCCAAGTATGGACTTTGTACAGTTGATAAAGAGCCAAGTAGCTTAAGCTTGGGGACCGAGAGTTCCGCAGAACATAATCAGTAAGCACCTAATCTCTTCAATCAGGTTTCTTTCAATTTTGTTGACCTACATTCGAGTGATTAAGCTGTGACGTCTTTGTCACCAATACTACAGGGGTACAACCTCTGGTTTCTCTTCTTTCACTTTGTCTGAAATGGACTTCACATTAGGCGGAGGCGAGAAAAAAATGGTGAGTCAGCTATACCGGAAACATGGATCGATTGACATGTTCTAATACTTATACTCTTCCTCTATCTCGCATTATCCATTTTCTTGTGTATTATATAGAGAAACACGTTTAGAAAGTTTTGAGGTTTCACTTGTGATTGTTGACTTTACCTCATTGCTACTAACCTTTGATTGTCGTCACAGTTTTAAATCGCCTTGGTTCTTTGTAACTTTTGACTATTATATCGTCCGTTTGCTTACTGTATCCTTTGGTGAAATGGTTTTATCAGCTGCTAAGAGTTTGTTTGTTTGCGTCTGACTTATTGTCATAACTTTTTCTTCTAGGTGAGACTCACGGTTACCCCCAGTGAAGAAGGTATCCTCAAAATTGTCGGTGTAAGGTGGGGGTTGTCTGGTTCCGTTGTAGGTGTGCATTACTTCAAATCTGTCCCTGCAAAGGCAAAAACTAACAAGGGAAGGCGGAAAAACAAACTGACTCCCACCGATGCCTTGAAATTTTTGGTCATCAAGGTGCAAACTTTTCGTCTATGGTTTAATTTTTTAAAAATTTGTTGCGGTGTCTAAAGGAATGAATTTTTGACTGCGCAGAGTCTACCCAGGCTTGAGGGTTCAATTGATCATCTGCCTGAGCAACTATATGCTGGAGATCTGCGTTATCTTGTTTTGGAGTTAAAAAATAAGTCGGAATCCCCAATAAAGGTAGTTTTCTTTTCTGATTAACAACCCTTATCATTCATATTCTCTACCGTTTAGCCAGTTAAATTTATTTTTGTTCTGTTATTAGTTTGTCATAGTCTGGCTTATCTATTTATTCTTGCTTGATGACCGAATATTGTGATGCACTAAGCTATTCTCTGGATTACTTTTGAGCTAAAAAGTCTGTCTGTCCTTGTAGAATCTTAAAATGAAAATTAGCCATCCAAGATTTGTGAATCCTGGAAATCATGAAGAAGAGGTGACAACGGAGTTTCCAGATTGCTTAAAGAAGGGCCATGAAAAAAATATTGTTCAGTGTGATACAAGTAGTATATTTTCATTTCCAAAGGTCCGTGGCAAACCTTTTCTTCAAGTCTCAAAGGTAAATGTGCATGTCGGGTTATTCTAACATGGTTCTGAATGTTGATCTTTTCCAGGATGTATCATTGCAAGGAGATAAATCTTTGAGGTGGCCTCTCTGGCTTCGAGCTGCTATCCCAGGAACGATATCTTTGTATTTCACAATATACTATGAGATGGAAAATGTATCAAGCATCATGAAATATCGGACCCTTAGGATGCATTATAATTTGAAGGTGATGACTCTCTAGGCTGCATATTTGTGTTTTTTTTTACCAGTTTACTATGTTATAGGCAGATTTGCACTGACCAACCAATCTGAACCATTTCTATATCGTACATTGTTATATAGGTTTTACCATCTCTAGAGACCTCGTTCGAAATCACTCCCTCTCCATCAAGATTGCAAGAATTTCTTGTCCGTATGGATATAGTGAACCGTGCAAATTCAGATTCTTTCCAAATTCATCAGTTGTCAACAGTAGGCGGTCGATGGGGTATTTCGTTACTTGAGCGTGTTGATACAATCTTACCTTTCAAGTCTCTGCTTCCTGGGCAAGCTTTATCATGTCACTTCATGATTAAGGTCGCTAGAACTTAAAAAGTTCATTTAGTAACTAGTTTGGTCTTTCTCTTCTCCATCTCTGAAATTAGAATGCTTGTTCAAATTTCAGGATAACAGAAAATCCGGGACTGAAGAAGATAAAACCATGTCCGTTCTTGCCAGCCAAACCGACGTGAAACTGTTTACTCAGGATGACGAAGAAAAGTTTTTTGATATCGTTAACTCACCTTTAGCAAGTTTCCATGAAAGTGAAAGGTCATCTCAGGGAACCTCAGATCAGGTAAGCGAAAGTCTTCTTTCATATATCTTATGCGTTAGAGATTTTTGTTTAAGAGTATATTACTTTCTCTTAAACAACTTTATTTCATCACAATCATAGTGAACTTGTGTTTGTATGATGAAACAGTTGAGTCCGAATACCGTTGACTTCATTCTAATCTCTCACCTAGCAAAATCTAGCAATTCATCAGGAGTGGCAGACGTACCAAAGATTCTGTCTCATCATTCATGTCACAACAGGTAAGAGTATATACGTGACAGTATATTTTCTTCAGCTTTCAAATCTATTTTTACGTACTTTTAATCACATTGTTGTTCGATTACAGAATCAGGAGCTCAAACCCGCTCTCCTGGTCCCTAGACGGTCCCCAAACCTTATACCACGACTTTTCGACCCCCTTGTGTGAAATTCAACTAAAGTTAATAATCAGAAACACATCTACTGGATTATCATCTGTGAGCTTCAACACTACTGATTGCCTACCAGACGCAGCAGCACCAACTCCTTCCTCTGGAAACCAATCCGGGTGGCGCTACGTGCCAGATGTAACAGAAGAAATGAAACTAACCTCAGATGTTATGGGGAGCCGTCTAGGGAAACCTCCATCTTCCATGGAAAGCTCACCTCCTTTCATATGGTCAGGTTTAAGTTCCACAAAGGTCCAAATCCAGCCATTGTCAACAACAGAGATCCCGCTGCAGATATCAGTTTTCGCTCCAGGTATCTACAATCTATCTTCGTATAAACTTACTTGGGAGCTTTCTGAGCATGAAGATGCATCATCAACATCATCAGGGACATGCCAAGGCTATCCTTATTACCTTAGTGTTCTTCAGTCTGAGTGAGCTTTTATACCTCTCTCTCTTTAAAGGTTGGATGAGAAAATTCTATTGTGAGATGTCACAGTCTGTGTATCCATTTTGATGGTTTACGTCTGAGTTTTCAGTTTTGATTGTAGCAAATTGTTGTCAAGAAATGTTTTTCTGGTAGGATAAAGATTAATTTTGTGGATCTGAGCTTAAGATTTTGTGGAATAAAAGATTACAGAGATTATCCTTTTTTATAATTTCAGTTAAAAGAACTACATGTTTAAAGATTCGTTCGGAAACAATTTCACGTTTTCACTTTAAATGTGCAATCATTAATATTCAGTAAAAACAATTAATATTCTCAAGCTTAATATGACAAACGGGAGAAAATAAAATTAGCATCTCTCAAATTTAAACTCGTGCCGATCATGTGGCACCAATATATACATACATACAACTCATATAAAGGTAAAATAAATGACAAACATCAACCTCCTCCAGCTACTTTGATGGTTAAAGCTACAACACCATTGATACTGTTACTACTACATTGCCTTCAGAAGGGGGAAATGTATAACTTATCTCGAATGATATTTTCTGGTTTGGACCAAACTACCTATCTGCAACTAAAAGACTCATCTTCTCCGTCTAGAAGATGGATTTTGTGAGTTTTGGTCGCGGTTTTATAGTGATGCTTTCGTAGGGATTCGCTTGTTCAACTTGGATATAATCTCTTGTTTTCAAAACCTGCAACATTGGCAAACAAATAGAAGACGGATTCAACAAGTGATCAAGTGTTTGAAGACCAAACTTGTTCCTGCCTTTGCAAAAATGATTGATGCATTAAAGCCGAGAGTATTCACACACCTAACCTAAGACATTCTTACACCTAAAGATCCTAACAGTCTAGTAGGAAAACCGTAACTTCAAAATCCATGAACTTGTAAGAGTCTAGGTGTTTTATCCATTACTTGTCAAGTTTGTTTTATCTAGAGCAATTTTTTTTTTGTTTAGGGTCGTATTATAGACATACCAGGGTTTCAAAAAACATTCTCGATGCTTCTTTACGGGTTTTCCCAGCTAAAAGTTTGTCTGCTACAACAACATTCTTCCCATTCTCAGCTTCTTTATCAAATATCGTCTGCAGATACTTCGCCACAGCCCTATAAGCAAAGAGAATAAGAATCTTCGGTCTTTCAGGCTCAAAATGTTTCTTACATGATAGTCTAGTGGAAAAATATCATTCTGTACAAACCTGGTACGAGAAGACCATCCACTGTTCTCTAGAAGACGAGTTTCATCACCTTCTTGCATACCATCGTCTTCTTCATGATCTTCATCGACTTCATCATCATCCACGTTCAAAAATCCTGAAGACACAGAGTGAAATAAAAAGCAGAACCACTGAGACATCATGGGAATAGCAAAGCGTTAAATCTTGTTTAGTGTGGTTTGACCAGGCTATGATGACCAAGTATTAGTCCCATTGCTCAAACTAAAAACATACAAACAATTTGGACAATTAAATTAAAAGTCGAAAAGGTTTAAAACCTGTGTCATGTGCCACTTCCATTGTATCCATTTCCTACAGCATAAGAGAATAACACAAGAAGAATTTAGATGCATGTCTTTACTTGAATAAGAATGTGAAGACACATTGAAACAAACTTACGTCATTATCTCCCATAAGACCATCGCGAGAAGTAGGTTCTTCATCTGGTGCACTTTGCATATTAGTAGCCTCCTCATTAAACATCTCATTATGCGGTTCGTAGTTGTTATCAGACTCTATCTCCGGATTCACCACATCAGTATTTGCTTCCACAAGATGAGATTCGTTGAAACTTTCTAAACCCAAATTACTAAAATCACCAGCTTCTACTCGTCCAGCTTCAATAGAACCAATTGTGTTATCGCGTGGAATCTGGTCGTCTATACCAATCTCGCAGACTTCAGCTGATTCATCTGTCTTCTTATCTTCCCGGTTAAGCTCATCTTCAACTTTCAAATCTGTCTCATTGAGATCAACCACGCCTTCAGTAATTTCCATAACACCACTGCAACTTTTTTCATGAATATCAGCACAAACATCTTGACCGCCTACACCTCCATCATGGTTTTCATGGTATCCTTCCACTTGTAAATCCTCTACAGCCTCTACATGATCGAGTTTGTCCTCAGATGGCATTTCACTGATCTCTTCATTTACTACTAGATTTACTTCTTCAGCAGCTCCATTGCCTTCTTTTGAAGCTTCTAACTCACATGCTGTTTCACCAAGCTCGTTATCCTCTTTCGCTTCTTCCTGTTGATGTGGGTGAGTAAGAGGCTCAGCAGGTTGCTCTTCAGAATCATCTGGGCGAGCTTGAGGAGCAGAGCTTTCTTCAGCTGCATTTTCTTCCACAGCCTTAACAGAACATTCATTATCTTCTCCCATTCCAACAGAAGCATGACGGTCATCATTCTCGATTATCGTGATCCCTCTTAGATCAAAGGGCTCATTGTGTAGAGATACCAATTCCACTGACATACCTAAAAATCATTCAAAAATATTACCACCTGTGTGGCTGCATTTTACAAGAAGAATTGAGAGAACTTGTAGTGAATAACATACTGAACTTACCAGTTAATATTGGCTCATTCAAGAGTCCATCTTCCAAAGCCTGCCTTTGAAGCATTACGATTTCATCAACGGTGCAGGGTGCCTTCTTTCGCACACGGCGTATACCTTCAGTGTTTGTCAGCTGTTCCCGTATAACGCTAAATAGAAAAGTAGACATTATTAGAATAGATGAGAAAGCAAGTAAAAACCTATACAAACTGCTCCAAGAGTCCAAGGTAACTACAAGTGTGAGACCTAAAAGAACCTCAATTTGTAGAACGTCGAACTAAAGATCAGCATCCAAAAAAAAAAATGGCCCAACAAAAGCAAGACACATAAGTGCAAAACAAGTTGCAGCTAAAAAACACACTTCTAAAGTGCACCAGTAGCAAGGAAATAAAAGCTAAGGTATAAGAACATCAGAGATAAGAAAAAGGTAAACATACTCTCCATGCAAGACCATAGGGTCATCCATTAGAACCTTCCTCTTTGTGGCAGTAGAACGGGGAGCAGCTCTTGACCGTTTTGTAGTTGCTATTTCAAGCACAGGTGTAGACCTCATCTTCAGAAAAGATGACTTTCCAACTGAAAAGAGGAGATGACCATTGATTCAGGAAGCTAGCAACAAGGTGTGACCTTGCAAAAAACCTCAGAACATACAAAGAAACAAGAAAAAACTGATACCTAAGATAGAAGACAACAAGTCATCGTCATCAGGAACAGAATCTGCAGTTCTTTTAGACTGAATCAGCCCAACTGACTCAACAGAGTTCAGACTTTCTGCAGTTATGGTGCTCTCAGTAAAAGTGCGTTTTTTCCCAGTGATTTTATTATTTCCTGCATCCTCGTTGCATGTGCCAGGGTCTTCTTTATCTGGTGTAGATTCAACCATGAAATCAGTTTCATCCCCATGTCTCTCAGGTGCAGCTAATACCTTTTCAGGTGCAGGCAAATCAGAATCAGTAAGATTTTCCAACTGTTCATCAGTAGCATTGGATTCATTCAGTTGCTCATCTGGTTTATTGTTCGCTTGACCATCTCCTTGTATACTAGAATCTGTTTCCTGATTTGACAAACCTTGGTTCTCTTCTCCAGGATCTTTTGGTTCTTGGGATGGACAATGCTCAGTGTTATTCATTGTAGGCCCTCCAGGAGACTGAACTGAGGGAACAGCATCTGACTTATCTGCTACAACGTTATTAACATCGGTTCCTACCTCAGTTATTACTTGACCAGGATCTTCTACCTCGTTGGTGATGTGAGAACAATATGGTGATGTACTAACATGTACATGCTCTGCTCTCTCCTCCTCCGGCTCGTTTTGTGCGTTGACATTTTCATCTATTAGCGACTTATCCACCTCCATTGGAATGACATCTGATTCACTGGCATTATATTCAGAAGGCAGGCCTTCATCATGTTTATTCGCCTCATTAGCATCCAGCTCTTCAGAGGCCTTCTTACTTTCTTCTGCATTCAAATCATCTACCTCCATGTGATCATCAGATGCCAGGTTCTCTCTGACACTAGACGAGTTAGGCACCTCAACTAATCCAGGGGTTTGAGGAGCTTGAGCGTCTTCGATGAACTCATTCCTTATAGCAAGATCTTCAACCTTTAAAAAAGAAAGTTTCCATAAGAAATATTGAACCAATCAAGAACTGCGACTCAGGACTATTGTTCAGAAACTATTAGTAATGCTCTCGAACATTATATCTCTGATGGTATGCACCTGCTCTTGGTTGAAATCTGTGGGCGTTGCTTCAGAAACTCCTACCATATCATCTTTTATCGCCGGTGTTGCCGCATCCATATACGCATTGTGATCAGTTCTATCAACAAATAAAATATCTACCATAAGTCTAAAATATTGAAAGAGGTATTGTGCACATTTAAATTATGAACCAAAGGACCCACAGAAGCGCCGTTCTAGTTCACAATACATTGACAAACAAAAATCAGGTTCTGGATAAGACAAAAAGAAAACAGATATGCAATTATGCTACGAAAATGAACAAAAACTGACCCTTGAACTCCCTCGTCATCGGATCCAATAAGATCCTTGTCCTGGAATACTTCCTGCAGAACAATACAGGGATGAGAAGATATCATACCCAAAACAAAATAATACTAAGAGAGAAGTTCCGGTTTTAAATATGCAAAGCTTCACAAGGAAGAAAAACATCATCCTCATTTTGACCCTACAACGTAGCTGCTACATAACACTTCAAATTACAAAGCTTTGACGGTCCAGCGCTACAAAATAAACCAAAAGTTTCTCTACATAGTATTTCATCTTCCTTTACATTTATCCTATATATTGTCCCTAAAAATTATAATTTTTATGTTCCATAAACACGAAAATACCTCTTCGAGCTCCAAAGCAGCTTGAGAAGTGTCGCCATCACCAAATCTCTCTGTACACATACCAAAACAAAATGAGTTCTTAGTTAAGGCATCGCTATCCATAAACTAAAGAAAAGTAAAGCACGAAACAACCACTGACCATCTAATCCAAATTGCGATGTTGAGTATACAACACCATCCATGGTATCCTGAAGGGTGATCTGTTCTCTTGTACTAACATGATGATCAACGTAATTACTGCTATACAAAAAACAAAAACAAGAAGCAATGGATAAATAAAGCTTCTGAAAATCAGACTATGATTAAAATAGCATAGCATAATTAAAATAGGATAAACTAACCCTTGGAAGATCTCACTGTCTGGAAGCTCAAAATCATCAAGATCAAATGTCTCAGGCAACGTAATTGAGTGATAAGGTGCTGTGGATTCTTCCGGGGGTAAGTCAACCGCAGCAGAGCGGAAAGCTTGCTTTACCTTAAGCAAAGCCTCGCTGCAATCATCAAAGAGGTAGTTCACCTTTTTGGAATATATACGAACCACACCAAGTAGAAGATGACTAGACAATCGCAATGCAATTGGAGCTTCCGGAAAGAGAATAGAATCTGCTCAGAAAAGAAAGTAGTCACATTAGGAAATACTTCTAATAGAAAAACAAAAACAGAAAGTTTGCTTCTGCTAGACAGGGCACTATACTCACCAACGGAGACACCGATGTCAGTATCAGCGACCTGATTCTTGCGAAGCTTCCTTTCCAAATGGGCAGCAATCCATATTGTCCCAAGTGGTCCTTTCTTTGCTAATATAAACTGCGAATAAAACATTCCTCCTCCTCCTCTACACTCCCCAAACCAAAAAAACCCTAAAATTTCAACAACAAGAAAAAAGGAACCAACTTTGTTAGACTATTTCAATTTGAGCTTCAAAAACTGAATCCATTTCCCACATAGAATCAGAAGAAGACATCTTTAACCCGAGATAGATAGATTATGTAAGAGAAATTAAGAAAGTTTCCAACTTTCCGACAACAAAACCAAAATTAGCTAAACCCGACAACAAAAGACTCGAAATTGCTACGGACCAGAGACACTCGAAGGTCCTAGAATACTTCAACAAGCTTCAGAAACTAGAATAAGAGCAAGAGGGTAGATCAATTACCGTAGAATTCACCAAATCCAAGCTCGATTAAAGTCCTCGCCGAAACCCTAATTCGCGGAAACTTTACTCAATTCAGTTGAACCAGAATCTTTAAGATAAATACTCTTTTGCTGTGACGAGATCAGACAGAAGACCAGCGAACGAACTCGTGAAGAAGAAAAATTAGAAACTTTTTTTGTGGGGAAGGAGAGAGAGTTTGCAAAGTTTGTAACTTTGGATCTCTTTAGTTGATTTCTAATTAAATTGAAGGATCTGTTGCGGAAAAGGAACACGAGCTTCGTGGCATAAGTCGTACTCTTATTGGTTAGGACAGGGGTTGGGTCCTACATAGCTTTTAGATCATTCAGATTTCAGACCAACAATACGTTTGTTAAAGATGTCTGATAACATTCTTGTCTGAATTTATAAGATCCAGGCCGAACTTATTGGACTATGTAATAAAGCCCGATAACAATCGAAATACTTGTGTTATTAGAGCCCATCTACAGCCCAATGTTCCCACCTTACAAAAAAAAAAATCAAAATTCGAAAAAAACAAAATAACACATAGGCTTTTGTGAATAAGGCTACACACCGGATATCCGAGTTTTTGAAGATATTTGTGATTTGTTTCGTATGTCACGGACATCTAATTTTCAGTTTGCTTTGTTTCAGAAAAATATGAATATCCAGAAAAAATAAATAGATATTTGCGAATAATTACGAATACTTATGAATATCTCATTTTTTTTGATTGATACAAATAATTTTAAAAAGTTGATACAAATTTGTTTTGTAAAGTATATTTTCATAATATATCAAATAAAAATTAAAAGAAGTGGTGAATCTACTTATTTTGTAATTTTTAAAAATTTAGTTAACAATTGTAATTACACAAAACTTAATAAAACCTAATAATTGTCATCAATTTTTCTCTTCTTTTTATTTTATACTTTTACATAAGTAATAATGTGAATAAAATTTATCACATATATGTTAAGATAATAATTATATAGTTGTATACATTAAAAATTTAAATAAAATTAAGATATATATGTATTTATATAATGCCGGATCGGAGCAGATATCCACTTCTCAAAATTTTAATATTTGTAATTTGTTTCGATTTTAAGTGATATTGATTTTTAGTATTTAATTTGCTTCATAAGTTTACGTATATCTATATTTTTTTAATTGAATCGAAACAAATAATGAATCGGATAAATTTAACAGATAAAATATTAGGCTGTAATTGCAAACTAGCCCGACGATAACATTCTTTTGTGAATTTATGTTATTCAGGTCGAACTATTGGACTATGTAATAAACCCCAATTACAAAATACTTGCATAACTGGAGCCCATCTACACCCAAATGACCCACCTTATTTAAAAAAATTTTAAAAAATAGAAAAAGACAAATAACAAAAGTAGCTGTTCGAAATCCAACGGTCATATTTAGAAACTTGACCGTTGCGAATCTCTCTTCTCCCTTCTACATAAACACACACACACCTCCTTCTGCTCATCACACATCCTCACATCACACTCTCTCTTCTTCTTCTTCTGATCATCACCTCTCAAAGTCACCATGGGTTTGATTTCTTCACCATCAGTAGATGAATCTCACTACCACACCCACAAGATCTTCCTCTTCACCAACTACATCCTCCTCGGCGTCGCCACTAGCTGCATCTTCCTAACCCTCTCTCTCCGCTTAATCCCTTCCGTCTGCGGCCTCCTCTTCATCCTCCTCCAGGCCACCACCATCGCCGCCGCGATCTCCGGCTGCACGGCAGCTTCCTGCGGGAGAAACCGGTGGTACGCTGCTCACATGGTGACCACCGTGCTCACGGCTATATTCCAAGGCTCTGTCTCCGTTCTCATCTTCACCAACACTTCGAACTTCCTCGGGAGTTTAAAGTCTTATGTCCGTGAAGATGATGCTGCTGTGATTTTGAAGCTATGTGGTGGGCTCTGTGTTGGGATCTTTTGTCTTGAGTGGGTTGTGTTGGTGTTGGCTTTCTTCTTGAAGTATTACGGTTATGTTGAGGGTGGTGATGGGAGTGGAGGTGTGGCGATGAGGAGAACCGGTAAGGTGCAGTGTGAGGAGAATCCTAAGGGTTGGCCATTGTCGCTCCAAGTTTGAAGTTTAGTGTCTTTTGTTTTGTGTTTGTGTGGTGAGATTTGTTTAGAGCTATATCAATATCAAATGTTGGTTTTTGATCTGTTTCTTTAGTTGTGTTATGTATGATTCGTTCATTTGTTAATGTATTTGTTATTCATGTCAATGATTTACTACTACATATATGTGTAATATGTTTCGTATGAATTATTGCTCTTTACATTTCTTTAGTATTCAGAAACTTTCAAATTGGGTAAAGAAAGATGCAACAACACAATACAACAAATAGAGAATCATAAATAAATAAATAAAATAATGAGAAAACACAAAGCAATTCTTTGGAGGAACTCACTAAAGGTGATCCCAAAAAAAAAAAAAAAAGTTATATAAAAACATACATTTTTTTTTTGTAATTATACATTTTGCTCCAAAAAAAAACACACAGTATACTTCTTTTGGCCTCCTCATCATGGTGTTGTTTGGTGAAGAGATTAAATCATATACCACTTGTTTTAAGCCCTGGTCTATCAAAAGAAAATCTAGCTGAATGGTACTTTTTGCAGTTTATTGGCCTCTCCCTTGAGCCCTCTCTTCAATTTTGTGGATCCTAGCAAGGAATCCACAGAGATAGTCATGTTCCATGAAATTAAAGAAAGCCAGATGTCAGATTCCTGTTACACTGGTCAAATTGATGACTCTCCAGGTACACAAAAGAAGTTGTAATGCATGCAATCTAGCTATGATAGGCTTTGAAAGTTCCTTAATGCAAGAGAAAAACAAACCTCTTCTTTCTTCAAGTATACACAAACTCAACAGGCGTTGAAAGTTTCATATCAAGTCAAATACTGTGCAAAAACTAAAAGGTAAAGTGGTATAACACCACTGGTGTGTATATGTTGTTTACCTGGCAGTGTCCTTCACTAGAAGACCTGACTGTCAAACATATGTTCTTTCATTTATTGCTGACCATTAACGACATGAAACGTCCAACAAAATATAGCCTTGTAGATACGGTAGAGATCACAGGATCGACAATACTGAACGGATTAGATTCTAAGTTAAACACATAGCAAAGAAAAGATGACTACGCATATGTTTGCCACGTGACCTCTCATACAATCAAAATCTCGAATCTCTGCTCATAAGTAAAGCTGTATAAATCCCACTGGCAAATAACCATTTCTTTTATCGGTGTAACAACACTAATTCAGATTACATTAATTATCATATCTGGAAACCGAACAAGCAAACAAAAAAAAAAAACAAATCAAGCAGAACTAACATGGGTCTCGTGGATGCAGGATGCGTCTCTCGAATCTTCTAGACACATAGATGTAGAGATGGGTGAGTTTTTTTATGGACTATGTCATACCTAAACAACAATATGAATATTCAATTTATGGCAGCTTGTTCTTGTTAACTGAAAATTATTTTGATTAACCTTATCTTAACTTAAATTTTGACGATTACTATATCTTTAGACGGTTTTTTTAATTTGCATTTCATATTTTTTTTTTTTTTGAAACACAATTTGCATTTCATATTTAATTTATTGTATATCTAATGTTCCTGCAGATTTACTTGCTAAAAACGTTTAAAAATTGTTGAAAAAATAAACCTAACGTGGCTCGCGGGAAATCCGCTACTGGATTTTAACCCGACCCGGTTTAAAATACTCGTTTTTAAAAGTCATGCACCCGGGAATAACATCAGTTAAATATCCCCACCTCTCTATATTGATTAACGATCACAGTTGATTACATTCTATACATAAAAGAAAAAAAAAACTGACCGTTTATAAACGGAGTTTGCTCACCAAAACAGCACCACCATGACAACCGTCTACTCCACTCCCGCCACCGTAACGGAAGGCGCGAAAGTTGCCACTAGTAAGTGGAATAATAATAATAATAATAATAATAAAACAAATGGAAACTTGCGTGTGGTGTGTAGATACGGAGGTAGCATAGTATCTCAGCGCTACGTAGGCGGAGACACTCGCATCGTCGCCCTTCCTCCCTCCGCGGAAACTAGCTTCGCTTCCCTTGTTAGCCACTTAGCGGTTAAGCTCGGAATGTGTCACGGCATAAAGGTGAAATATCAGCTCCCTGATCAGGAGCTGGACTCTCTCATCTCAGTTGAGACGGATGAGGATGTTCATATCATGATGGAGGAGCACGGATATCTCACGTGCGATGCGTCTTCGGCTCCGAAAACGCGTGTCAGGTTGTTTCTTTTCCCCTCGAAGCCTGAGCTGAGAAAGCTTGAAGCGGATATTGATTGGCTTGGAGTAGGAGGAGAGTCCAAGGTTGAAGTGGCTAAGCCTGTGCTTCAGCATCCGAAGACTGAGACGTGGTTTGTTGACGCGTTAAAGGGGGCGAAGATGATGCAAGCGGGGAGGAATAATGGTGGAAGTGGAGATGGTAATGGTGGGATTTGCGGACAGGACTCGATGATGATCGAGACAAACTCGGCTTTTGGGTCTTCGTCGTCGTCTGTTTCTTCTGGTAATTTACCTCCGGTGAAAAGTGCCGGCGAGGACAGTACATTGACTTCGCAGGTCAAGTTTGTTCCAGTAGAATCAGTGACAAGGTATTCTATTCTCTTAATTACTTAGCTTATGTGTTCTAAAATTTCTTTGTTGTCTCTAGGAAATGCAATAATGAAACATTTGTCTTGTTTTCAAAATTTTTAAAAAAATAATAATATATATAAGTATATAGCCTCAAATTGTTGAATCAAAATTTTTATTATTTTTTTAAAAGAAAATATATTTATGGCATTCAATATCTTAGGACCGGTTCTGAATGGTAGAGATGAGTGTGATAGTAGTGGAGAACTAGTTTATATGTGGGTTGATTTGAGACTACCTTGTTGTAATGTTAAAAATATCAAATAATATTTAAGTGGTCCTGGAATGAGTTCATAGGCTTTTTTTGTTCCTAGGCTGCATAAATTTTATAGTATATGAGTTGTATTAGATGTTTTAAGGATTGTGTATACTTTTGTTCCTATGCTGCATAAATTTTATAGTATCTTATATATTAAAACAGAAGTCATGACTTGATTTCATGTGTGATTTTTTTAAAAATGGACTATTACTAGAAAGTTATGTTACAGTAATTCTCTAATAATTTTATCATTATTATATCTTATGAAAAATCATATCTATAATAACAAAGATACGCTTAACAATTTGGTTTTGGTAAATTAGTCCACACCTTCCAACTTAATCACGCAAAATATGTCAATATATATAAGTTTAGGAATCTTCTATTATTTATAAGGAAATATGTCAATAATAGTTAAATGCATCCACAATATATTAACAAAAATCACAGATTAGTAATATGGAATATTTATATACCCTAAAAAAATTTACACCATATACTGTATATATATTTGATAAATTTATTTCGAGGTAAATTTTTAAAATTATATTTTTTTAAAAAAAAAAAAGAAATTGTTTAAAAACTGCTTTTTTAATAAAATTCTTTATAATATTAATTTATGAAGCTATAAGTTTAGTTTTTAGCAAAAAATTCTTCGAAGTTTATATTATCTTTGCAAAGTAAAGTATACTAATATTTAATCAAGCTTTATTTATACTATTTTATCTTAAAATGAAATACTAATCTAACAAACAATAAAATATAGAAGAAGAAACAAACACATGTCTGAAAAACATGCATAATATAGAAAATTAGAAACAATCTATTTGATTAAAACACTTATTATATAATATTATTATGTTTGAAAAACATTTACTATACATATCGTAAATATGTGATTACTATAATATATACCAATTTACAAGTGAAAACAAAATTTTTATATAAATAACTATAAACGAAAACAAACACCTTGCGCGGGTCAAAATCTAGTATGAGTTGTTTTAGATGTTTTAAGGATTGTGTATATTGTAGAGAAGAAGAAGAAGCCAGCCCTCTAACTATTCTTCATGTTTTTTCTTAATATATTAACAGAGACAATACTGCCGTCACACAAGTCTCTCCTCATGAGCTACCAACACGTCCTCATGTTCTGGAGGTAAACAAACCAGTTCCAGTCCCAGTGTATCCACCGTTTCTAAACACAGCTCAACAACAGTATACCCATGTTGTTTACACTGGACAGCCTCCTCACATCACTGGAACCTCACCTATGACATTGCCTCCAACAACATACCACCACACAAACCACTCACATTATCAGCTCCCGCCACAGCCATACCCAATCTATTACACTCCAGTTGATCAGTACAACTCAAGGCACGTTCATCAAGCCCCACCTTTGAAACACGTCAACGTTTTAAACACCCACCAAGTTGATTCCCCAATGGTCTCTCTAGCTCCACAGATGTCCTCACATGTCTACCCTCCACCCAAACCCGTTGATTCATCTGTACAAACATCAAGTGAAGCTACCCTTAGAGATGATCTCATCTATAACATTGACCTCGATGACGATGTAGCTTGTGCTCAGATTTACAAAACTCAGCCACCCGCTCCAATACTACCGCCTCAGCTACAAACCATGATGCTCACTGAAGCTCTCGGTAAGCTACGCATCCACAATGGTTGAGAGTAGTCAAAAAAACAATTATTATGTTGTTACAGTTTCAGGCATTTGGTTTTACAGTTTTTTTTTGGTTTACAACACATGCTTCTGCTTTTTTTTTTTCACTTTCAGTCAACAGTGATCTTTGTTTCAAGCACTTTGTTGTTGTAATACTATATGACGTGATGTTTTGTCTTCTTTTTCTTCTACTTAAGATTGATACTGTATCTTTCCAGCTAATGTTTTATAAGAATCTTGTTAGTTACCAACTAGACAATTGTGGATAAGTGAGGAGCAGGGTTTTTTCTTACCCGATCCTAAAATTTTGGAGAATCATTTTATCAAAAAAAAAAAAAAAAAGAAGAAGAATTGGAGACAAAGAAAAATTAAATATATTTTTTTACTGGAAAAAAATTTCTTTAAACACTAACTAGATTGAAATAGAGGGAGTAGTAATCGTCTAATTTTGAAGAAAGTTAATCAATTTTTTTTTAAAAAAAAAAATAATTTAAAGGCTGTTATGGCCAATATACATTTGAGTAAACCTTGGCGACCGGTTTTGGTTTCCATTCATGACAATAAATTTTTTATTAGATTATATGTTAAAATAATAAAATGTAAAAAAGGAACATTTTCTTTCCTTACAAACCATATACAATGTTTTATGAGATCTTATCGTTTTCGTGTTATAGCTGTGATGATAAGAGTTGCAGACTAATATATACTCACTAGGATTTAGCTGTTTTAAATCTGGATTGTGAACAGAAGCAAATGGAGAAACGGTCCAAATTACAAGAAATAAAGAAACTACTAGCCGAACAGAACAAATGTTTGAGTTACATTATCAGAATAAAATAACTTATTGGATCTAATGAATCTATTGAACAGACCATGACAAACTTACCACATGAGGTAAGGTATCATATTTTTGGCGTGCAAAATATTTGTATTATTGGCGTTAAATATAGAGAAATTACTAGGGCTGGGCAAAAAATCCGGATCCGAAGAACCGAACCGAATCCGATCCGAAAAAGTAGTATCAAACCCGAACCGAAATTAATTCAATATCCGAATAGGTTCAAAATTTTAGTATTTAAAGAACCAAAACCGAACTCGACCCAAACCGAAGTATTTCGGGTACCCGAATATATTCGAAAGAGATTTATATACATATATATATTAGTTATTTTTATATTTAATGTATATAAAAAATATTCAATATATATAAAATACTTTGAAGTTGTTCAAAATACTTGTAAATATATTTAAATAGTCAAACATACATGTCTAGAATTGCTAAAATACACTTAAAACATCAAAAATACTTAAAAAATTATTGATTTCCAATCCAAGTATTTAAATCAAACTACTTTACATGTTAATTTTAGGTATTTTGATTTATGTTATTCAATTATTTGTAATATATTATTTTGTGTATAGATTTTAAAAAAAAATTAAAGTATATAACCAATTTTAAAATTTTAAAAATAATTTAAATGGGTTATCCGAACCTGAACCGAACCTGCAAAGATCCGAACCGAACCCGAACCGAAATTTAGAAATATCCGAATGGGGCTAAAATTTGTGAACCCGAAAACCCGAAACCCGAATAGATCCGAACCGAACCCGAATGGGTACCCGAACGTCCACCTCTAGAAATTACCTCTTCAATAAAATACTAATGGGTTCTGAAAATTTCAGTAAATTGCTAAACTCAGCTTCCCATTACCTAATAGATCCAATAGCGCATTTATTAATGGGCCTTATTTGTCTCAACGCATCAAGCCCGTCTAGTTCCGTAGCTCTGCTTTTAGCGCGTTACACCGCCCGTGATTGATTACTCGAGTCGCGTTGGAATAGTTGACAACTTGACATTCGCCACTTGCGTATCAAAGGGACAAAACTCAAGTGGGGACACTATTTTCTGTAGTGCCAAGAATACATATTCCAGATCTCTGATGACTTTTCATTTCTGGCCTATCTTTAGCTGATAATATTATTTTACACTTCCATTTCTTTTGTGGTCAATATTATTCCAAATAGTACAAAGGCATGGATACGTATACCTTACAAGATGGTTAGTATAAGAACGAGACTATGTCAATCATTCAACGCAATAGCTACACCATTGTTTGATAATCTCTCAAATCAGTCAAGTCACTGACCCTTTTGGTTGATAATATGAATCTTCCTAGGTGCGAAAGAACTAGGAAAAGACTACGGTGTTGCATTAATATTTCAAAGACAGATCATTAATTCTTCTTTTTTCTCAAAATTACAGTGGTTGCTAGTTCAAAGTTACTCCTTTGATTGAGATTATCGTTTCATACCCTGAATGAGTGAATGTACAATAATTACATCTTCAAAAATGTTTTTTTTTGACTAAAAATCTTCAGAAATGTTTATAAATAATGTTTAACAAAACTTAATCTTCATAAGTCATAATTGTGCTCCATTGTTTTTGCTTTTCTTAGCAAGGTAAAAAAGATGGTGTTGTAAATCCAGACCTTTATTTTTTTTGAAGTTTTTACTGTTTATCAACAACATGTTTAAAAATATTATATATGCATAAACTATTTTTATCATGTAATTACGAAACGCATTTTATTTGACATTGCAGTAAAATGCAAGTTAAAAATAACATACAAGTGCGTTACTGCATAGTATACCATAACATAAGTAAATATTTTTATTTACAAAAAAAAAACATGAGTAAAGTTTTAAGAATAAAAATAGTGAGACTGAGTGAAACCTTTGTTTGGTCTTTTTCGCATTTTGGTGTTCTCCCACTAGCTATATTCAAGATCTGGTCCACATGATTCGGTACAAGGACGATGAATAATGATTAAAACAAAACTCTTAAATGAGAGATACATTATTTAACTCAACTATAAGAGAGAAAAAAAGAGAATCTCTCTCAAGTCAATCACTTCTAGACAATAATACAAAAACCTTACTAAACCCCTCTGATCCTATTCTTCCACCATTCTATCTCACTCCCATATCTTGATTCTGAGAAGACAAATAGCTATGTTTCCTTTACGACAAGTTGATCCATGGAAGGAGTTATGAAGATGCAGCTGCGTCTTTCGAAAAGCTTGAAGCATATAATGGTGTAAAGAGTGTGTACAAACATGGAAACTATGTGGCTGAGACAAGTGAGGAGTCTGCTTATGGTTCCAATGTTCAAATGTTTGGTGGCTATATGTTTGGTCATCTCTTTGTTGGTTTTCGTAGAGAGTGTGTATATGAACATTGTAGTAATTTACGTCAAGCTGTTTAAACGCAAACCCGAAAAGATCTACAAATGGGAGGCAATGCAGGAGGACATAGAGGTCGGAGACCATAACTATCCCATGGTTCTTGTCCAAATCCCAATGTACAATGAACGAGAGGTATTTAGAAGTTTAAACACTGACTAAGTATTCAATAATGATGATCCAATCCTGTCTTACAACTTTGATTTTGTTCTGAACCCACAGGTTTTTCAATTATCCATAGGTGCTGCTTGCAGACTCACATGGCCATTGGATAGAGTTATCATTCAAGTTTTAGATGATTCCACTGATCCCACCATCATGGTACACATAATTAACTTTTTCAAACGCATGCTAGCTAATATACTAATAAAATATTTGCTCATATTAAAATATATAAACAAACATTTTACTTTCTTTTTCTTTTATAACTTAACAACTTTATAAAGTCACGTCAATGTTTTGGTTTTCTTATAACCACAATGATTAAATATTACTACTAATTAATATTCAAGTGTTGCAATGTCTTAATGGTAGGAAATGGTGAGCATGGAGTGTGCAAAGTGGGCAAGCAAAGGCATAAACATAAAGTGTGAGAGGAGAGACAATAGAAATGGCTATAAAGCTGGAGCACTTAAACAGGGCATGAAGCATAGCTACGTCAAACAATGCAACTACATTGCCATCTTCGATGCTGATTTTCAGCCAGAGCCTGATTACCTCCACCGCACTGTCCCGTTTCTCATCCACAACCCTGAGCTCGCTCTTGTTCAAGCTCGATGGAAATTTGGTATGGATACTTTACCATAATAAAAGATTATCTTCGACATTATTGGTTTTGAGATAATAAAGTATATACACATATGCTCCTAGTATTATTGGGAATGAAATGATTCGTTTGGTGCAGTGAACGCAAACAAGTGCTTGATGACTAGGATGCAAGAGATGTCACTCAATTACCATTTTATGGCAGAGCAAGAATCTGGATCCACCAGACATGCCTTCTTTGGCTTCAATGGTACATCTCTGTCAACGTTTATTTAAATAATTTATCCTCTGGTAGAAAACTTTTAATTCTAATTTTATTTCTCATATAGATGCTCTAGTTTTATATTATTTATAGTTTCATTGTTAGCTAATAATCTCTAAAACAAGCCACATTTGCATGTATATATATATATATATATATATATATATATATATATATATATATATATATATATATATATATATATATATAT